AGAAAGAAAGAAAGAAAGAAAGAAAGAAAGAAAGAAAGAAAGAAAGAGAAAAAAAAGAAAATTCCTCAAGTATCTGAAGGATGAAAAAGAAGTGACAGAGTATCGAGAAGAGCACGGCGAGTGGGAACGCTGGGCCCAGGAGAGAACTTACGGAGGGAGGTATGGGCCAGGGTGGAGCTCAGTCAACTGTCTTATCCCCAGGAACAAATAAAATAGGTAAAGGTAAAGCGGCGTACGCACGCACTTCCAGTATTTGGGAGGTGGAAGCAGGAGGATCAGGAGTTCCTAGAATCCTTGGCTACACATTGAGTTCACGTCTATGAGACTGTGGGCAGACGAGGGAGGAAGAGCCGCAGCATGTTTAACGGTGGGGTTACCAAAGCCAATGCTACTACTAAGAAAAAAGAAGGGAATGGCAAGATGGCTCTGGGGTAAAAGCAATGGGAACCAAACCTGAGAATTTGAGTTCAATCCCCAGAACTCACATTGTAGAAGGAGAGAACCGACTTTGGCCAATTGGCCTCTGACATGCATATACACACAGTGGCATGCATGTACTTACTAGCTCTGGAATGTGTCTATGAATAAATATGTGTATAATTTTAAAAGATCAAGAAAGGATAGGGCTGGCAGTTTAGCTCAATAGTAGAGCATTTGCCTAGCCTGGGTAAGACCCTGGGTTTGATCCCCAGCACTGATGGGGAAAAAAGACAGGAAAATTAACTAATTCATTTATTTACACAGGTCTAAGATAGCTAAGTGCCTACAACATGTCAGTGGAACTGGAAGGAATGCCCTGAAGAATAACCTCAGACAGGGTTAAAACAAAGAAGCCTGGGGACAGAGGTATGTCAAGTGTTGTTAGGAAAGAGGCTTTTTTTTTAAAGATTTATTTATTTATTATGTGTATACAGTAGTCTCAGTATTCTGTCTGCATGTATGCCTGCAGGCCAAAAGAGGGCACCAGATCTCATTACAGATGGTTGTGAGCCACCATGTGGTTACTGGGAATTGAACTCAGGACCTCTGGAAGAGCATGCAGTGCTCTTAACGGCTGAGCCATTTCTCCAGCCCAGGTGCTTTTTTCTTTTTCCCTTTTTGAGGCAGGGTCTCATTGTACTCTGACCTTCTTACCTTCACGTCCCCAAGTGCTGGGATTACAGGTGTGTGCCACACATCTGCCACGAAAAATGTCTTATTCTTGTCCATTTTTCAAAGTGCCACAGAAGATACTGCCTATAATGCCCACTCCACATATGCATACCAAGCTTGGCAATGTCTAAACGTCACTGATTCTATAAAATCAGAAGTCTCCTTTGCTCTCTCAGCCGCTTGATTTCTTTTTTTTTTTTTGAATCAAATCTTTTATCAGTTTTTATGTCTCTGAGTGTTTTGCCTGAAGGTATGCATATGTAATACATCATGCCTGGTTCCTCTGGAGGCCAGAAGAGAGGGTCGGATCACCTGGAACTGGAGTTACAGACCATTGTGAGCTGCCACGTGGGTGTTGGGTACTCAATGCCAGTCCTCTGGAAGAAATGCCAGTGCTCTTAATGGCTGAACCATCTCTCTGACACAGGGTTGGAGATACAGTCCTGGTTGACCTGGAACTCACTGTACATCCCAGGCAGGCTTTGAACCTGTGACCATCCTCTTGCCTCTGCTTCTCATGTATGCAATATCACACACACACACGTAAACATTGCTTTTTTGAGACAGGGCAATGCAAATCAGGCTACCCTGAAATTTGCAGCTATCCTCAGACTTCTGAGGGCTGGGTTCTAATACATGTGTATGCATCACATATATACATACATGCTTATTTCTTTTGTGTGTGTTTGTGTATGTGCATGTGCGTGGGAGCCAGAGGTCTACATCACTTATCTTCCTCAATTACTTTGCCTGCATGCATACCTGGTGACCTTGGAGGCCAGATGAGGGCATCTGGAATTGGAATTATAGACAGTTGTGAGCTGTCATGTGAGTGCTGGTAATTTAACCTGTGTTCTCTGGAAGAGCAGTCAATGCTCTTAACTGATGTGGGATTCCCCTCTTTATGCTATGAATATGTTTTATTACCACTGGTTAATAAAGAAGCTGCTTCAGCCTATGGCAAGACAGAATAAACCAGGTAAGAAATCAGAACAGAGATATAGAGAGAGAGTAGTCAGGGAGATGCCAAGAAGCTGCTGAAGGAGAAGGACCCAGAACCTTTCTGATAAACCACAGCCTTGTGGCAATATACAGATTAATAGAACTTAACTGCTGAGCCATGTTTCCAGTTCACTCCACTTTATTTTTCAATATTCTTTTTTGGGGGAAGGGGGGTGGGAGCAGGGTCTTTCTATGTAGCCCTGGCTGTCCTGGAACTCACCATGTAGACCAGCTTGGCCACAAAGTCACAGGGATGTACCTGTATCTGTTTCCTGAGTGCTGGGATTAAGGTTCACTGACCACCACAGCCAGCCTCATTTTATTTCTCTGAGACAGAGTCCCTTATCAAATTTGGAGCTTATCAATTCAGCTAGACTGCCTGGTCAGTGGACTCTAGGGATCCACCTGTCTACTCTATGAGCCCACCTCCCCAAGTACTGGGTTACAGATATATGCCAGCACACCTGACTCAGGTCCTCATGTTTGCATAGTAAAGACTTTATCCACTGAGCCATTTCCCCAGGCCCTCGGATAGCTCTTACGATGATTCTAAGAAGTAGGTAGCATCAGCAACCCTGTACTTGAGGAATCCCATGTCTGGAAAATGTGGTCAGGATTCTACTACTGTCACGTAACAGTGTCAGAATTAAACCTGGGTCTTCAGACTGCACAACTGTGTTCTACTTCCTGAGAAACTCTATAGAAAGAGCATATCAATGCGAGGGGTGGTAGTACACGCCTGTTATCTCAGCAGCTGGGAGGCTGTGGCAGGTCTATTGCAAATTGGAAGCCAGGATGGACTATAGTAGCAAGAATCTCAAAAAACAAAAAAAGAAAAGAATGCTGGGCAGTGGCAGCATACATCTTTAATCCCAGCACTCAGGAGGCAGAGGTGGGCAGATCTCTGTGAGTTCAAGGCCAGCCTGGTCTACAGAGTGACATCCAGGACAGCCAGGAGTACACACAGAGAAACCCTGTCTCAAACAACAACAACAAAAGCTGGATGCATTAGGTCATGCCTATAACCCCAATATTGGGATGTGGGGTGCTTTGGCAAGAGTTGTCTCAAATTTGAGGCCACTTAGGCTATAAGATCAATTCCAGGACAACCATGGCAATCAAATGAGAACTATCTCCTCCTTCACCCAAAAAAATCCCCACATGTACTTTCCAAATAACTAAGTTATTTCTGCAAATGCTGAGTAAACCGGCAATGGTGGCGCACGCCTTGAATTCCAGCACTCGGGAGGCAGAGGCAGGCAGATCTCTGTGAGTTCAAGGCCAGCCTGGTCTACAAGAGCAGGCTGTTCTTGTATGGACAAGCTCCATAGCAAAAGAGAAACCTTGTCTTGAAAACAAACAAGCAAACAAAAAAACAAATGCTGGTAAAAAAGAGGGTTGGCTTTTGAGGAAGGGGATGGAGGGTCTGTGACACACCTTTTTTGTTAGTAGGATTACTAGTCTGCTGCTCCATCTCAACAGCAACAGGTACAGTGCCTGGGAAAGAACCAGAAGATCACACAGTCAAACAACAGTGTTGTGTTTCCTAAGCTTGCCTCAGCAGATCCAAATTGGCTACAGCTGCTCTAATTTTGGGAGGCAGAAGTATGATAGTGTATACTGTCTCATAGTTAATACAGATATCTGCTTTTTAAAAAGTTTAGTTATGTGTATGTGTATATGTGCACATGTCTGTAGAACCCCCTGGAGCTGGAGTTACAGGTGGCTGTGAGCAGCCAGACATCAGTCCTGGGAACTGAACTGAGGTTCTCTGCAAGAGCAGTATCTTCTCTTAGTCACTTCTGGATGTATGTAGTCCAGGCTAACTCAAGTCATCAAAATCGCTCTCCTTCTGACTCAGGCTCAGGAGTTCATTATAGGAGTGTGCCACCACACAAGGCAAATGATTGTTTTTAACTGGATCATTTTCTTTTCTTTGGTTTTTTGAGACAGGGTTTCTCTGTAACTTCAGAGCCTGTCCAAGGCCTAGCTCTTGTAGACAAGGCTGGCCTCAAACTCACAGAGACCTGCCTGTCTCTGCCTTCCGAGTGCTGGAGTTAAAGGCGTACACCACCACTGACCGGGCTGGATCATTTTCAGTTCCTTTCAGAGGTGTTATTTGTTTCATTGTCTTTTCACTGGAGAAGACAGACCATACTAATCCAAATTTTAAATCCATCACAAACATGTCATGAATCTTCCTGTCTTCTAAGTGTTTAACTTCTAGAGTCTTTTTTTCCTATGTGGGGTACTCTGGCAAGAAGGTAGTCTCCAATTTGAGGCCAGCCTGGACTCCATGGGGAGTTCCGGGGCAATCATGGAACTCTCATATGGTAATAGAGTAATTTAAAAACTCTAGCTCCCTCTCCTTTGTCTGTAATAAGTCTGAGGGTGGTCAATGGCACACCCGAGATAAAATTATTGCGACAATGTGAGTAGTCCTCGTTCATTATGTCTTACTGTTGTAAATGTAAATGTATTTTCCCAAGAGGTAAAAAACTTAGAATTTAGCGGGCGTTGGTGGCACATGCCTTTAATCCCAGCACTCAGGAGGCAGAGGCAGGTGGATCTCTCGGAGTTCCAGGCCAGCCTGGTCTACAGGAGCTAGTTCCAGGACAGGCTCCAAAGCCACAGAGAAATTTTATCTTGAAAAACCAAAAAAAAAAAAAAACACAAACAAACAAACAAAAAAAAACCTTAGAACTGGGGCTGGAGAGATGGCACAGAGGTTAAGAGTGCTGGCTGCTCTAGAGGTCCTGAGTTCAAGTCCCAGCAACTGAGATGTGGTGCCCTCTTATGTCACGCAGGCATACATGCATGTAGAACCATGTAGGTAAATAAAAAAAAATTCTTTAAAAAAAAATAGGACAACAGTTAAGAGCACTAGCTGGTGCTACAGAGGACAAGGGTTCAGTTCCCAGCACCTACATGGCGGCTCACAGCTATCCTAAACTCTAGTTCTAGGGGATCGGACTTCCTCTTCTTACCTCCTCGTGCACCAGGCACGCCATGTGGCGTACAAAAAAAAATAGTACATCTAAAACACAGGATTTTTGTTTGTTTAAAGAAAAATAGTCTAGAGTCTAGAGTAGGTAAACCACAACTCCCAGCATGCTCGGGTGCAGAAAAGGGCCGTACCCGCCCCACCCTGTGAGCAAACAACTTCCATTGCCGCAACCCTTCCGGCCACGGCCGCTATCCCCGTACCACTATCCCTCCCGGTTGCTAAAGCTGCAATAAAAAGTGGAAAGCTGTCGTGCCTTTCTTGACTTTCACGGTCGGACGAGAACCGATGAACAAAACAAGAGTTTCATGACCTCACTTGCAGCATTAATTCAAAGCCTCAACCCCAGCACCCCACTTTGTAGTTGGTACGCATGCGCTCTAGCGAGCCAGCCAACCGCCCGAGCCCCTGCGCTTGCGCAGACATTCTGTCCGCACGCGGCCGGGAGCGGCCACGCTAGTGCGCAGGTGCTTGCGTCTCCCAAGCCCCCCCCTCATCGTGCCCTCTCCATCTAACTTGCCTAACCTTTCTTACGTAAGGGCGGGGCTAATACCGGCTATTGGTCTATGTTCCTGCCAATCAATAAAGTCAGTTTAGTGATTGGCGGCGCTTCAGAGGGTAGCAGGTTTCTGTGTCAGTCCCGAGGAGGCAGCGTTTTCTCCGCTGCTCTTCTCTCCAGAAGGTTCTGCCGGTTCCCTCAGCTCTGGGTACTGGGCTCCGCATCGTGCCGCCATGATGGGCCACCGTCCAGTGCTCGTGCTCAGTGAGTTCAGGGAGGCGGTGGTTTCCTCCTCCCCTCTCTCCCTACACTGGCCAGGGTTGCCCGGCTCCGTCCCGCCATGACTCGGCCCACCGTACCTTCCAACCGCCTTTTCGTTTTGGAAGCGCCTTCTCTGGATTTTCTCTCCTATCAGCTCCCTTCCTTTGACAAAATGCCTTTACGCTCTCGGAGTCACTCATCTTTACGTGTGCTTCATCCCACTCGTGTTCCATTCTTTAGCCGCCACCCTCTACGCCCCCGTGTCCTTTCCAGCATGATTTCCGGCGTGTAGTTTGGGAATAATGATTCTTAACGTTAGGCCTTGCCTCATCCTGGGTCCATCCCTTAGCGGCTTGATATAGAGCAAATCGCTTAATCTGTGCTTTAACGTCAGTATTAGTAGGCTGTAGTAGTTCTTTAAAGAATTGCGAGTTAAGTTGGTTAAAGTAAAGCTGCCTTTACTGGCAGATCGCAAGTAGTATTTTGGCGGTAGCGGCCATTCAGCGACCCTTGTTCGGAAGTGGCACGCCTTGCCTCAACTAATTAAGTTCCTCCAGATTCCTCTTGGTTTTCTTTCCCCTTTAGGAAATGCCATTCGTTGCTTGAGTAAAGAGCACCAGTTCCTTTTCTGTTACGGGAACTGTTAAGCCAGGTTCGACCAGTTAAACATAGTAAATAGAAAAGCAGAAAAAGATTATTATTCGAAATGGTCACAAAGGGGTTCGGTGACCCCACCCACCCACAGACAAGACCATGGGCTTAAACTCAAGTAGCAGACCAGAGGCATAAGGGTCACTGTCTGCTCTCCTCTCCTGCGAGACAAGTTTCGAGTTTGGCTCGCGGGCTTTAGTCTTATTCTAGCATGAGATTCCTTGGGAATTAAATTTTCTTTGGGTACATCGAGAGTTGTTTTCTTTTTTCTGTCTTTATGTGTATGGGTGTTTTGCTTGCACGTGTGTCTGCGTACCACATAAGTGTCTCGTGCCTGTGGAGACCAGAAGAAAGCATCACATCCGCTGGAACTGAAGTTAGAGGCAGTTGTGAGCCACAATGGGGGCCTGGGAATCGAACCTGGATCCTGGCAGAGCAGCCAGTTTTCTTAAAGACTGAACCATCTTTCCAGCCTCGCAACGAGGCTTTCTTGGTCACTAATCTTTGAGATTGTAGCTTCTCTTCCCAGGGGTTTGTGAGGGATATGCACTTTTCTCCCCATCCTCAGGCATGAATCCGCGCTGGAAATACATGAGCCTACAGGAGAGTATTGATCAGGATTCTGAAATTGAAGTTATTTCAGGTTATATCTTTATGTACCAGGGGCTAAAATTGAGAAGTAAAGAGCTAAGGGTACATAAGCAGTTTTTGGGTTTGTTTTTTAATTTTATTCATTTTATGTGTATTTTGCCTGCATATATATCTGTGTGCCTGCAGACACTGTAAGAGGGTATCACATCCCCTGGCACTGGTTGTGAGCTGCCATGTTAGTTAGTGCTGGAAATTGAACCAGCACTACAAGAGCCTCTAGTGCTTTTATCTACTGAGCCATCTCTCCAGCCCCTAAACATGTTTTTTTTTAATATTTATTTATTATAGATACAATATTCTGTCTGCGTGTATGCCTGAAGGCTAGAAGAGGACACCAGACCCCTAAACATGTTTTTTGAGACAGGGTCTCACTTTATAGACCAGGCCGGGCTTGAATTCTGTCTCTCTTGTGCTGGGATTAAAGGCATTGTGCTACTATACCTAGCCCTAAACAGTTTTCTGGTCATCAAACTCGAAAATCTTTGTATTTATTTTTATTTTTAAAAGTTGTTAAATAGGGTTGGTGGGATAATTCAGTAGGTAAAAAAGGCACCTGCCACCAAGCCTAATAGCCAGAGGTGTATTTTGTTGCTTTTCTTTTGTTTCATTTGAGACAAATTCTCTCTAGGGAGACCAGACTGACCTCCAACTCACAGAGATTCTCCTGATTCTGCCTTAGCACTGAATTTAAAGGCATGCTTCACCACACCTGGCTTTGATAACAAAGATTAACCCTGGCAGACATGTGATAGTCAACTCCTGAACCCTGTCATGTGACCTCCACGCTGGCGAGCATTTGTGCATCTAAATTTGTGTAACATTCATACACAAATTTAAAAATGTAAACATTTTCTGTTAAGGTCGGAAATGAATTGCTTGTGTATACTGGGCTGTTGACATGTATTTATGTCTGTTCTAGGTCAGAATACAAAGCGTGAGTCTGGAAGAAAAGTTCAATCTGGAAATATCAATGCTGCTAAGGTAGCACACGTTTTCAGTGTTTGTATGAGTTTGTTCTGGCTGACTCTAGTTCTGTATTTATGATAGCAAGCTTTCTATGGATCTGCGCTTCAGAGGATACAATTAAGCAAAGGCAGAATGGCTTTTCCAAAGCATTTCCTTGGTAGTGCTATGGGGAGGGAGGTTTTATAAGCTGCATGCTTATATGTATGTGTACCATGTGCATTCCTGGTATACAAGAAGGCTAGAAGAGGTAGTCAGATCTCTGAAACTGGAGTTACAGATTGTTGTGAAAGTGAGCCATGTGGGTGCTGGAACTTGGATCTGGATCCTCCAGAAGAGCAACAACCAGTGATCTTAACCACTAAATCATCTCTCCAGACCCGCCCCTGCCCCCTTTGTCAGACTGGCCTGAAACTCACTAGTCCAGGCTGTCCTTGAACTCACAGAGACCTGATTGCCTCTGTCTCCCAAGTAAATATCTCTTGAGTGAGTGATACAAGACTTGATTTTAGGTGACCTGAAGGCCACTGTCAGTAAAGATATTAAGGCTGGACTCTAAGGACATTGAGACTGTAGTAGACCTTGCACACGCTGTGTGTGAAAGAGAAGTCATTTATTGCTGTGTGTAAAATAGTTGCCATCCTTATTGTCAAGTGTCACTATTAAAACTGATTCTGGCTTGGGACTGGTGAGATGGCTCAGTGGTTAAGAGCACTGACTACTTCTCCAGAAGACGCGGGTTCAATTCCTGGCACCCACATGGCAGCTCGCAGCTGTTTGTAGCTCCAGTTCCAGGGAATCTGACATCGTTATACCAATACGCATGAAGTAATTTTTTTTTTTAACTGACTCTGGCTGTAGAGTTGGCTCAGTAGTTCAGAGCATTTGCTCTTGTAGAAGACAGATTTCGTTTCTCAAACCTAGATGGTAGCTCACAATCTTCTGTGACTCTAGTTCTGGTTTCATGGGACCCAGCGTGCTCTTCAGACCTCTGTGGCCACCGGGCTTGCATACAGACATGTACACAGGCAAAACACTAGTCTGAGCTGGGCATGGTGGGGCATGCCTATAATCCCATCACTTGAGAAGCAAAAGCATCTCTAAATTCAAGACCAGCCAGAGATACTAGTGAGACCCTGTTTAAAACAGAATGCTGGTTTTGTCTGTTATTCTCCAAATCACGGTGTTTTCTGAGTTGTACTTTTTGTTTTGTGCCTCCTTACCAACAGACAATTGCAGACATCATCCGGACATGTTTGGGACCTAAATCTATGATGAAGGTTGGACTTTCTTTTATTGGAATTCAAACTCCAGGTCCTCCTTTTTTGTTATGTCTGAGACTTCTGTGTTTTCTTTCTTTCTTTTAATTGATTTGTATTGAGCTCTACATATTTCTCTGCTCCCTTCCCTGCCTCTCCCCTCTCCCAAGATCCCCATGCTCCCAATTTACTCAGAAGATCTTGTCTTTTTCTAGTTCCCCACTTCTGCTTTTTCTTAGATGCTTTTGGACCCAATGGGAGGCATCGTGATGACCAACGATGGCAATGCCATTCTTCGAGAGGTGTGTGCTTTTGATTTTGTTGTTGTCTTTCCTTTTTTCTCACCTCCTTTTCTGAAATTTCTATAAATACCAAGAGCCTGTTCAAACACTTGTAAACCTTGGCATGGTGTGTATGCTTCTAATCCCAGCAGTGGTAGAAGAGGATCATGAGTTCAGGGTCACACTAGGCTATAGAGGCTATATAACTCTGTCTCTGAAATTCAGGGGCTATTAAGGTATGACGACAGTGTACATGTAACCTCCACATTTAGGGGATAGAGGTAGGAGGATTGGGAATTTGAGATCAACCTTGGGGTTGTAAATGCTGGGATTATAGATATGAGCCATTATGCCTTGCTAGTCTAGTATGGCTGGCTTAAAAATGGAAACTCCAGGTGTGGTGTATACCTATTATCCCAGCATTCAGGAACTGAGGCAGAAGAATTGAGAGTTTGAGAACAGTCTGGGCTGTGTATCAATAATTTGTCTTACAAGCAAAACCTGGGGGCTAGAATATGAACCTCTGTATTGGAGTACATCTCTTTCATGTCTTAGATTCAATTTCCAGCACCAAAAAAAAGGAGGGGAACTAGGGGAAGCACCAGAAACTTAACTTCCCATGGACTAAGGCTGCAACTATGAAATTAAGGTAGCAGTGGGGCCTGGTTCTGAAGACTAAGGAAGAATCCTTTGCTGTTTCTAGCTTTTAATAGTATTTCTTGTTCCTTTGCTTTGTAAACCCAGGATCTCTGTTTCATCGTATAATTCTGGTGTGTCTTGCATGTGTTATAACACCAGTGGGACTCAGTTTAAACCAGTATGGCATCATTTAACTTGAACACTTCTAGCAAGACCTACTTCCAAGTAAAGCCACAACCCCATGTCCCAGCGTTTAGGATCTCCAGGGGACACAGCTCAGCCACT